CCAAGCCTCGGCTGCTCTCCTTGACACCACCCAATGCCTTCAAGATCAGCACAGTGGGGAAAGAAACTCTTGCATGTTACCAAGTGTGGGTGCCAACAGCAGAACCACAGCTTCTGCGTATGGAACCTGAAGAAATACTCTCCAGAAGGTATCGCCTCAGTAATGATGTTCTCTTACTAATCACTGCTGATTCTTCAGTCCTGGCTAAGTCACATTGACTGTTCCTGTAAAACACAGCTTTTTCTTCCACAGATTATTGATTCTAATGGATAGCATAAAAGCTATAGTTGGTTTTTATTTTTTTTTACTCTTTTGGGAGCCCACCACCCAGCTCCCAAATAAGTACATAGAGATTTCTTACATAGGAATGCCCAGCCTTAGCTTGGCTTATCTTTAGACAGCTTTTCTTAAATTATCCCATCTACCTTTTGCCTCTGTCCTTTTATATTTCTCTATTCTATGTATTTTTCTTTCCTTTTTACTCCCTGGCTGCCTAGGTGGTTGGGAGGCTGACCCCTGATGTCTTCCTCCCCTTCTCCCTTTCTCTCTCCTCCCTCTTCTTCATTTTTTCCTTCTATTTATTCTCTCTGTCTGACAGCCCTGACTATCCCTCTCTTGTGCCTATCTATTGGCCATTCAGCTCTTTATTAGACCAATCCAGTGTTTTAGACAAGCAAGTAACACAGCTTCACAGAGTTAAACAAAGGTAACATAAAAGAATGTAACACATCTTTACATCATTAAACAAATATTCCATAGCATAAAGGAATGTAACATATCTTAAAATATATTTCCCAATAAACAACGCCTCTATTGCCTGCACCTTTCTCACATCTAAGTGCTAATCAGGCTCAACCCTGCTTGGCTTCTGAGATCAGACAAAGCTGTGTGTATTCAGGGTGATATGGCTGTAGTCCCTTGCATCTTCTTCAACATTCCTATCTTCCAAGCTTCTGTAACAGTTCATTGGGCTTTGAGCAATGAGTGGCTTTTCCAAAGCTTCAAAACTCTAAGCTTTATCCAGAAAGAAAGAAAGAAAGAAAGAAAGAAAGAAAGAAAGAAAGAAAGAAAGGAAAAGAAAGAAAGGAAGGAAGGAAGAAGAAATAAAGAAAGAAGGAAGGAAAGGCCCAGTCCATCACAGCAATATTCCATTCTCTGCTCCCAATTTCTGTTCTAGTTTTTTGTTGCTGTGATAAAACAGACCAAACCCAACCTGGGGGGAAAAATATCTTAGTTACTTCTCTATGGTGGTGAAGAGACACCATGCCCAAGGTAACTTGCAGAAGGAAGAGCTTGTGGGGGTGCACAGTATTAGAGGGTGAGTCATGACTAACATGGCAGGGAGTATGGCAGCAGGAAGGCATGGTTCTGGAGTTAGAGCTGAAAGCTCACATCTTGAGACACAACCTCTGAACAGAGGGTGGTGGAGAGAGACAGATTGGGAATTGTGTGGGCTTTTAAAACCTCAAAGCCCACCCCCAGTGACAAGGCCATACCTCCCAATCCTTCCCAAATAGTTCCATTAAATGGCAACCAAGTATTTAAACATATGAGCCTATGGGGGCCATTCTCATTCAAACCACCACAAAATCATTTATTTGGTTTGCACAGTCTGTCATTAAAAGAAGTCAGGACAGGAACTATGGAAGAACACTGCTTACTGGCTTGCTTCCTCCGGTTTGTTCAACCTGCCTTCTAACAAAACCTAGGCCTATCTACCCAGGGGGCAGCACTGCCCACAGTGAGCTGGACCCTCCTCCATGCCATCAATCCAGCAATTCCATTTCTAACTACATCCCACTTACATTCTTCAAAATGTATATACAAGAATGCCCATGGCAATGATGCACATACTTCCGACATCTCCTTTCTGGTGTTTTGAGTTTTGTTCTTCGATCTTGTCAGTGGTGGTGCTGGTGGTTTGTTTTGCTTTTGTTTTGTAGGTTAACAAAAGTAATGGTTTATTAGCCTACAAAGTAGTTCCTCCATTTGCTTTCATGTCACATGTATTCCATTTCTTTTTTTAACTCCTTGCCTCTCCTTTCAGCTCTCAGCCTCTCCTTCCCAGTCCTCTTCCTAATTTATACATACACATAATTAACCTAGAGTCCCATATAAGGAAAAATCATAAAGTATCTGTCTTTTTGATTACTTGTTTGTTTGTTTTTCAAGACAAAGTTTCTCAACATAGCCCTGACTATTCTGGAACTCAATCTGTAGACCAGGCTGGCCTCAAAGTCAGATCCACCTGCCTCTGCCTCCCGGGAGCTAGGATTAAAGGTGTGCACCACCACTGCCCCGGGGAGCATTTCTTTTGAGTGTGAATTATTCCATGTAAGACTATGAGATCCTATTCCACCCAGTTTCCTGAAGATGGCATTTTATTCTTCTGATGGCTGAACACAGTCCCATTGTTATGAGCACCACACATTTGCTTTATTCTTCTGTGGCTGAACACCGAGGCAGAGTTCATTACTTCTCTAATGCGATTAGTGTGGCAATGATCATCGATTAATCTGCAAATATCTCTAAAATATGTGGAGTCCTTTGGGTAAAAGTCCAGGGGTGATATGGCTGGTTCATATTATAGATCTACCTTCAGTTTTTGAGGTATCTCCACATTGACTCCTACAGTAACTGAACTGATTTATGTGACCTTCAGTGTTAAAGGGCCTTTGTCTTTGAATCCCCACAAGCACCTGTTATTTTACTTTTGATATAATAATTTAAAGCTTTCTGTATTATACATACCTTAGCAAATTATTATAGTTTTACATTTTAATAAATGTATCTTTTAATCTTCATATTAAAGGTATGAGTGGGGTGCTGCCATTTTTGTTTTGGGGGATTGTTTTATCTATTTTTAATAAAATATTTTATTAATTCTTTGAGAATTTTATACACTGTATTTCCATCATATTCACTCCACTCCTTCTCTTATCTCCATCTAGATTTACTTCCCCACCTGTCCCCCCCTCTCAACATCAAGTCTTCCTTTGCATTTTAATAACACACTGAGTCAAATTTATGCTGCCCATATGCTAATGAATGTGAGGCCATCCACTGGAACATAGTTGCCCTACCATGGTGCACATGGATGACTTATATACCACTGTTACATTATTAAATTTGGCTGTGAGCTTACTTTTTCACTTTTTCCCTTCCCTTCTTTTTAGCTATGTAGCCCAGATTGGGTCAAGAACTCAAGATCTATGACCTCATTAGACCTGGATAGTTGGCCAGGTTTCTGATACCCCACAGGAGAACCTGTCCCCAAAATGACAGAGGAGACAGAGGAAATGTACAAAGTATTTATAAACCTGTTATGCCCAGATCATGGGGTCCCCCAAAGACTACTAAGGTGTCCTAATCCTTCTGTGAAAGCTTGGACTCTGTGTTCCCATGCAGCAGTAAGATCGGGGAGCCTTGAGCTCAGTTGGGGTGGGGTTTTATCACGGTAGAGGTTGGGGTGTGGGGATTTCTGAGGTTCAGGACCCTGATTGTTTAGGGGCATCTTGATGAAAAGGGAAATAGGTAAATGTTGGGCTCAGGGACATCTGGTGATCTTATCTAATCTTATCTAATAGTTGGAACATCAGGTACTCCCCTTTAGAAACTGGCCTGCCCCTGGGTGGTGTCAGCCTATGGCTTTTCCTGGAAGCCTGTGTTGCCTGCCAGCAAATTGAAACTCAAACTCAGGCCTACTTTCTTGACTGTCTTTTTGTTTGTTTGTTTGTTTGTTTTTGTTTTTTTGTGACGTGAATGGAAGTTTTTAGTTTAATTGCTAAAATAGAACAGAAGAAAAAATGTATCTTTACATGGTCTGAATATAGATATTTTAATTTAGGTATATGTTTTCTTTAGTTGTGTCTCCTTTTTCTTTTCCCTCCCTCATTCCTTGGTTTTTTCCCTCAATATATGTTTTTATTTAAATTAGAAATATGCATGCTTCACCTGTCAATCCCAGCTCCCTCTCCCACCCCTCCTCCCTTGTCCCTTCATCAGCTCCCCCAGTCCCCCACCCAATCCCCACACCATTCCCCAGGGAGGGTGAGGCCCTCCATAGGGGATCTCCAGAGTCTGTCATTTCATCCAGGGCAGAACCTAGGCCCTTCCCCATGTGTCCAGCCTGAGAGAGCATCCCTCCATGTGGAATGGGCTCCAAGAGTTCATTCGTAGGCCATGGTAAACAATGATCTTACTACTCAAGGCCCCAGAGATTTCTGAGGCCTCCTCACTGACACTACATTCATGGAGTCTAGCTCAGTCCCCTGTTGGTCTCTCAGCCATCAGTCTGGGGTTCAAGAGCTCCTCCTCGTCCAGTCAGCTGTCTTTGTGGGTTTCATCATCACGGTCTTGACCCCTTTGCTCATCACTCCTCCATCTCTGTCAATGGGCTCCAGGAGTTCAGTTCGGTGTTTAACTGTGGGTATCTGTCTTGACTGTTTTTTATCAAGCCTGTCATGGCAGGTATGTGGCTAAGCTGCCCCGGGCCCCATAAACCTTGATCTTAAATCCCATGGCACATATGAAAACTTCCATAAATTTAGAAAGCTTAGGTAACCCATTACACTATCTTGCTTTGTCTTTGCAATGGTGTGGGTAGCATTTAAACATTAACAGGCAAAAGTAAAGCTTCCTGTGTGCCCACACCTGCGCAGTACTTAGAGAAGTAGTGTTTCAAATTTTCTGGCCACATGAGAAGATTGGGTCAACTAGCTGGGACACGTGGCCTCTGAGCAGCTACTCTCTTGCTACCTGAACCTACAAATTGGGGAAGGCCAAGCCAGCCCTGCTAGACCCTAAGAACCGAACATTATCACCCCCACTCTTGGAAAGGGAGTAGGGGTGAGACTTGAAAGGAACCAGCTAAGTCTTTCCGGTTCAGGCTGATGCACTTCCGTTTTTTTTCTGATCTGTGAATCACGGCGCCCCCTGCTGGTTATCCGCCACCCAGCGCTGATCCAAACAGACACTTCCTCCATGTTCTTTTTCTTAAGAGATGAAGCCAAGCAGCCTCGCACTCTTCGCTACAGCTATCATCCTTTGCCTCAGCATGGTGCAGCCTAAACTAAAGAATCAAAAAGGTGATGCAGGGGGGGCCTGGAGGCACTGGGGGAGGGGGCATGTTTCTGCAATAACGCCAAAACCTGGGGACTGCCCGGAGTTTTTTCTTCCCTGCCCGTTTGTCCGGCTACCTTTATGCAAGAGAGATAAAGCGTGCAAAGGCATCAAAAAGTGCTGTTTCTACTACTGTCAGATGCGCTGTGAGGAGCCATGGATAGCCGAAACTGAAGTGAGTGGCCCCAGACCCCCTGTACTCGGTACTGCCCCCAGTAACCTACCAGTGGATCCATCTTACCTGGCTCAGAGAGAGCTGAGAGCTCGGCACCTGTGGAAATCACTGTGATCGGAGCTTTTAAGTGTATGGGGGTGAGGAGTGCCTAGAAAACATAACATTCAAGAAAAAAGCAGTGCCCCACACCTGTAATCCTAGCACTTGAAAGATTGAGACAGAGGGGTTAGGAGGTCAGTGTCATCCCTGGCTATGTAGGGAGTTCGAGGTCCGCCTGGGATACACAGCACCCTTCTTGAAATGGGTACCAGACTTCCCTGTATGATGGGACCATTTGGACAGCATTATCTCTAAGTCACCTAACTATCACCGAACTTTTTTGCCATGATTATTTTCAACTGCCCTTTTTCTCAGTTTGTTGTATTTCACATTTAGGTTGAAAAGTCATGGATTATGAGTTCATAATTTCACAGTTGAATTGCCTAGACTCCTCCAGCCCTCAGTCCCCAATTCTTTGACAGACAGTACATCCCAGTTCTCTTGGAAGAAGAGGACCTAGCAAGGTTGAGGCCACGGTGGCAGTGGGATCCCAAAGCATGTTCCCAGAACGGTTTACAACTGCTTGCATTTCTGATTCTTCTCTTCCTAGATGGAAACCCTGCCTTAGCCAAGCCTGAGAAGATGCAGTGCTGTTGGCTCCGACTTGGATAACTGAGCTCAAGTTCTTCTGTCTCATAGACCCCCCCCTTTCATTGCTAAGTTAAGTGTTTATTAATATTAAAGCAAAACAAGCAAATAAATTCCTATTGAATAACTATTTCCTGGTGTCATAGCTGACTGCTAAGAGGTTGATTTCTCTTATAGTTCTGGAGGCTCAGGAACATACTCACTCTGTCTTTAGCTCTAGTTAGGGACTCATGCTGACTAGCATCCCACAGTGGCGGTAACATGTGTGAAAGTCAAGACAGTGTATGCAGAAAAAAATACAGGGAGGCACCAGCCCATCCCAAAGGAAAAATTCCAGTTCCACCAGATATGCACTGGTTGTTTCTGAAGGTGTTCCTCACCACCAAATCAGCTGCTACCAGGCCATACCACTTAAAGGCTCCCTACCACACAATATGGCCACACTGAAGACAAGCTTGCCATACATGAACTCTTTGGAGAAACGCTCAAAATAAGTCAAATCCACTGTGTACGTTAGGCTGTGTGGGACTCTGTAAGGCTTCTCTCTGCACTGCCTCCTCTCCTCTCTACCTCCTGCCTCCTCTTCTGTACTTTTTCCCTCCCTCCTCTGCCCTCCTTCCCTCTTTCCTTCCTCCCCCTTCTCTCTCTTCCATAGATCAGATTCCAGAGATTTTAGGGTTACAGTTTTAGTGTTTGTACCTTACGAGGGGCAGACACACCATCCTAAGATGGAAGAGCACACCATGTGTACTACAGCTTCCAGACAAGGGTGCTGGGTCCTTCCCCACATACTGATCTAGGAACTCTGGAAGCTTGAGTTAGAGATAAACCAGGCACTGTCTTTCATCTGGAGTGTTGGAAGGCGGGGAAATGCTCCAGAGGAAATGCTCCAGAGGTAACGCAGTCTGCTGCACAAGCATGAAGATCTGAGTTTGGTTAGCCAGGCTCATGTGTGGCACATACCTGTAATGCCAGTGCTGGGAGGTGGATTCAGGAGGCTCTCAGGGGCTATCTGGTCAGCCATAGCTAGCCAATTAGTGAACTCTAGGCTCAGTGAGTGACCCTGTCTCAAAAAGTAAGATGGAGAGTGATAGAGAAAGATGCCTAGTGATGACCTCTGGCCTCACACGCACACACATGCATGCACTACACTCAGAGAAAGGGGGAGAGAGAAGGTGTTGTTGGTTTGGTTTTCTCTTTGCTCTAATGCATGGAGACTTATTGCATATGAATACCCGGACTTAGCTTGGCTTATTTCTAGCCAGCTTTTCTTAAATTATCCTACTTCTGCCTCTGGACTTTTACCTGACTCTATTTCTGTATATCTTTACTTCTTTCTCCATGACTGGCTTTGTAGCTGGGTGGCTGGCCCCTGGTGTCCTCTCCTTGTCTCATTTCTCTCCTTCTCTTTATCTCCTTCTATTTATTCTGTCTGCCTGGCAGCCCCACCTAGGCCTCTCTCCTACCTAGCTCGTGGACATTCAGCTCTTTATTAGACCAATCAGGCGTTTTAGATGGGCAAGGTAAAACAGCTTCACAGAGTTAAACAAATGCCACATAAAAGAATGCAACACATCTTTGCATCATTAAATAAATATTCCACAGCATAAACAAATGTAACAACCATTAAATTAATATTTCTTTATGGTCTTGAAATTTAAGTTATTATAAATTAGCAATTGGAGAAAGAGTTCCTGTGTGGCTCATTCTAATCTTCCTAATAGCAAAACATCTTCTGACTCAGTTTCTTCACTTCCTGCTTCTGTGCTTCCAGCTTCTACAAGAACCACAGTGGTAGCAGATATTTGAAAACGTGGCCTTCTAAACTTTTTTTGTTTTTTTGGTTTTTACGAGACAGGGTTACTCTGTATTGTTTTGGAGGCTATCGGTCCAGCCCAGCCTCGAACTCACAGAGATCCGCCTGCCTCTGCCTCCCGAGTGCTGGGATTAAAGGCGTGCGCCACCACCGCCCGGCCTTCTAAACTTTTGTAGCAAATACAAAACAAGTCTGAAGGAAACTATTTGACGCCAGGTTTTTGTTTTGTTTTGTTTTGTTTTTTTGGTTTTACGAGAAAGGGTTTCTCTGTATTGCTTTGGAGGCTGTCGGTCCAGCCTCCCCATGTTTTAAGTTGAGTGGGACATTTTTTTGGCAGGGGTGAGGGAGGCGGAGGCTCAAGTGCAGGGCTGTGTAATCAGGATGGGAGATCTGACACTGCATTATTGGGTCAGAAGTGCACATGAGGACAGGCTGGAAAACTGGACAGCAACTGTGTCTCCAGAATTCCTTATTCTTCCAGACACCTCTGTCTCCCGCCCCCTCTCTCTCTTTAAAAATGTTTGTTCGTTTGTTTGTTTGTTTTACAGCCCAACTGCAGTTTCCACTCCCTCCTCTCCTCCCAGTCCCTTCTCCCACCTCCTCTTTGCCTACCTCATCCATTCCTCCTCCATTTCTATTTCAGAAAAGTACAGCTCTCCTATAGACACTGACAAAACACGGCATATCAAATTGTAGCAAGACTAAGCACCTTGCCTTGTATTAAGGCTGGGCAAGATGACTCTTATCCAGGACAGATGTAGGCCAAAGGTTATATGGCTGGGTTGGTGTCACAATCCCTCCCCACTGGAAATCTTGCCTGGTCTTGTCTGGTCATAGGAGATGAGCAGTTGAGGCTACATAGTCTCTATTGCTCCATCTTCCTCTTAATGCTCTCAACTGATTGGATGGAGCCTACTCACACTGTAGTTAGGGTTTTTCCCTTTAGGCCCATCAGCCTGGAATCTGCTTCCAGGATCTCCATTGTTTCTTACCCCACTGTGTGTGTGTGTGTGTGAGAGAGAGAGAGAGAGAGAGAGAGAGAGAGAGAGAGAGAGAGAGAGAGAGAGAGAGAGAGAGCAGGGACAAGGTGTGATGAGGGAGGAAGGGACGTCAGCCTCCAGAAGACACTTGGTACCAGCTCCTCTGGCCCATAGCTGGTGTCCAATGTTAGCTTAGTTCATACCCCACACCCCATCGAGCTTAACCCTGCTTATCTGAAACCGTTTGAAAGTCTTTCAAGTATTCTGAGAGTCTGAAATGAATGACTGTATGAAAGACAAGAATAGAGGAAAGTGTTGACAAGGACCCGGGAGACACTGAAGAGTCGTGACTGAAGTCCTTGAGTGACTTTGTTCCCTCTCTGTGCCTCCTTAGTCTTGATGGTAATTTGATGTCAGTGGAGACCACTTCTGCAAACAGGGAGGTCTTGGAAGTGCCCCAAATTCCATTTCTTACAGGGCTTGGAGAGCACAGCTCTCCCTGGTATTAGCAAACTTTCAGCCCTGTACATTGCCACTCCCAGCAGAAACAAAAGAAAGCCAGGGCCAGCCCCCGCCCACGCCTCAGCCTCAGCCTCAGCCTCTGCCACCGGGCATCATGCAACCAGGCAGCATCTTGGTCCTTGCTGTGCTCCTCGTTTCCTCAGCTCTGGTAGCTGGAGATAGCGCCAAAGGGGGTGAGTGGATGTGGTGAGCTGGGTGGGATTGGTGGGAGCTCCCAGATTACCCCCAAGTCCTCCCCTTACCTTGCGGCTCCCTCCACCAATAAGAGAAAAAAGGAGTTTGCCCAGTGGACAATGTGCGCTGCATCAGGTCTGAGCCACCCAAGTGTTGCAGTGACAGGAACTGTGAGGGTCCGGAGAAGTGCTGCTACCTGCACTGTGGCTTCAAGTGTGTGCAGCCTGTGAAGACAATAGAGGAAGTGAGTAGCCCCCACTCCAGTGTGCGGCCCTCCCCCTGCCTCCGCCTATCCCCCGAATGCATGAAGGAGCTGTTCTTGGAGGAGAGGGCCAGGGAGGGATCACTCTGAGCTTGTGGGATCTCCGATATCAGTGGCCTTGAACTTCTCCTTTGCACAAAGAAGAAAACAGAGGTAAGGAGTGGTGGGGCTATCCCCAGAGCAGAGCAGAGATGACAGTCTTTTGGCCCTCCCTCCTCCCAGGACTGTCCCTATGAGTGATGCTCCATCCTTTCCCCCTCTGGAAGTTGTTGTCACTCAGCACCTGCCCACTGAGGATCCATGACTTAAAGTATGGGAGAAATTGGCACCAGCTTTGGGAAACTTGGCCCCAGGGTCCTTGTGTCCAGTAGAGGGGACCATCTACCAATCCTGACCCCAGTATAAGCAGGCTCTCTTCTGCATGTTCACCTTCACAGATGGAACCCAGAGGAGTGAGGCATAAAACCTCCTAAAAAGGGCTTCAGAGAACTGCCTTGCCTCCACCACATAAGGACACAGCCAGACGTACAAAGGCAGCCAGGCCTTTCCAGGCCCTGAATCTCCTGGCTCCTTGATCTTGGACTTCCCAGCCTCCAGAACTCTGAGAAATAAATGTTGTTTATAGGACACTCAGTCTATGGTCATTTGTTACACCATCCCAAACAGACTAACGAAACTTAATAGCTAAAAGAAAAATCCCTGTTGGAGAGGCTTCATCTAACAACGGATGGAAACAGATGCAGAAACCCACAGCCAAACATTAGAAACTTTAGACAGAGCTTGGGGAAATCAGCAGAATTGGGGAGAAGGGGACTGTAGAAGCTAGAGATGTCAAGGACACCACAAGAAAACTCACAGAATCAACTAACCAGGGCTCATAGGGGCTCACAGAGACTGAATCCACCATCAAGGAGCCTGCAAGGGACTGACCTAGGCCCTCTACATATATGTTGTGGTTGTGTAGCTTGGTGTTCCTGTGGAACTTCTAACAGTGGGAGCAGGGGCTTTCCCTGACTCTTTTGCCTGCTCTTGGGTCCCTTTTCCTCCTAATGGGTTGCCTTGTCCAGCCTTGATGTGAGGGAGACCCATAGTCTTGTTACAACTTGGTATGCCATGTTTGGTTGGTATCCCCGGGAGGCCTGCCCTTTTCTGAAGGGAAAGGAGAAGGAATGGATGGCAGAAGGGGAGAAGTTGTCAGGAGCTGGGAGGCGAGGAGGAAGAGGAAACTGCAGTCTGTATGTGATATATGTGAAATGAATAAATAAATTCCCATTCAACATTATTAAAATATGTACATATATAAGCAAATAAACACTTCTAGCACTATACACAAGACTTCTGGGAGGAGAAAACCATACAATTTTATTAAATGGTATTTTAAGAGATAGGAATAAATAGGATGAAACTATCCATAATATGATTTTTTAAAAATATAACTGGTCAAAGGGCAGAGAATAAAGTGACTATGGAGCTTTGGAGAGTTTATCCCTATGAGATTGTATCACACAACACTCACCGCTACCACCACCAAGATTCAGGGAACTTAAGGAAGAGGCAGAGATCCAGGAAGATTGCTGTAAATAATGCCACCTACACATGACAGGGTCGCTGTACTCATGAACTCACAACAGCTGTTGTACCCAGCCCAAGACCTGAACAAAGAAGCCTGTAAATACTCTGGCATCTAGAGGGAAGGGACACATGAGCCTCCCCCACTTAGCTGAGGAGCATTGGCAGTTGATGGCCACTAGGGAGAGCAGAGTCAGTTGTCCTCAGTGGTATGGCCCATGGTGGGTTGCTTGGACCTTACACCCATGAGCATACAGACAGGCTAGTTGGACTAACTGAATTATTGAGAGACAGAGACAGAGACAGAGACAGAGACAGAGACAGAGACAGAGACAGAGAGACAGAGACACAGAGAGAGACAGAGAGAGAGACAGACACAGAGAGAGAGAGGAACTGGAAGGGGGATGTGGAGGGAGATGTGGGGAAATTGGAGGGATATGATCCAAATATATTGTGTTCATGTATGAAAGTACCAGAGAATATATAAAAACAGAGAATAGAATGCATATATACACCTGTTTTTCCCAAACAGCAAATGTCCACATGACAAAGATGTCTTTCCTGGTCAACAAAAATTATATATAACTATAATCTAAACCCTTTGGAAGCTGCAACCCCTAATTAAGTTGTTGACTCAGGCACTGGTCATCCACAGCTTCCTAATGCTACAGGATGCCATTTCATCATTTCATGCTATACTTGTTGTCCTTGTGTATGGGAACATGGCTCTACAATAAGAGGATTGAGGTGCGCCAGTTAAAATGCATCAATCTGTCTGAACATCATTAGCAATGGGTGAGCCAGGCACGGTCTCTTTCTCAAGTGATGAAACAGGAAGCACATGATATCCACCACCCAGGAAGGTAATTGCCAGGGTGGTTTTCATCATCAAGTTTCTAGAGCTAATGATATATACAGAAATGAGAAGAGCAAAGCTGAAAGACATCACAAGGAAGGGATATGGGCCACACTAACTAGACATCAGTTTTCTCAACCAGAAATATTAAAAAGGATGACTGGGAAAGGGGCAGAAGTGAGCCAGAATGTTTATCCTAGAATAAAAGAAAATAGAGATCTTGCAACCACGTGGTGAGTGCTACTTGTACGGATTTGGTTCCAACAACTGCACAAATTCATTTTTAAAAAAGATTTATTTTTAATTATGTGTATGTCTGTGTGTCTATGTAAAAGCATGTGCATGAGAGTGCAGGTACCCATGAAATCCCCCTAGATCTGGAGTTAAAAGAGGTTGTGAGTCACCCAACATGGGTTCTGACAACCAAATTTGGGTCCTCTGCAAGAGTGGTATGAGCTCCTAACCACTGAGCTGTCTTTCCAGCCCTAAAAAGTCAGTTTGGGAACAATAGAAAGTAAATGTAGGCCAGGCAGTGGTGGTACTCACCTTTAACCCCAACACTTAGGAGGCAGAGGCAGGCGCATCTCTGTGACTTCAAGGCCAGCCTGGTCTACAGAGTGAGTTCCAGGACAGGCTCCAAAGCTGCACAGAGAAACTCTATCTCAAAATAACAACAAAAAAAAGCAAATGTAAAGGTAGATGATTATATGTGACAATGACATTGGATTGTGTGAGATGTCCTTATTCCCTTCCTTTCAAAGTTGACACAGGGTTTTGCTATGTAGCCCAGGCTAGTCTGGCAGTCAGGACCCTGCTACCTGCACACCTGGGTGCTGGGACTGTAGGCGCACATTACCACACTCAGCCTAAAATGGCCTCATTTCTTAGAGATCTGTACTGAATGGCTAAAGGGAGAATTATGATGTGTTGAGTTTGCTTAAAAATTCTTCAGAAGTCAAACAAAAAGCAGTGGGCATGTGCAAGAGGAAACGTAAATGCCACTGTCGAGCTTGGAATGCACAGGGCTTCACAAAAAGGGTTACTGCTCTTCTGTATGATTTTGAAATGGCGGTAAAAATTGTCAATAGCTATCAGCGGGGTCTGTTTTTCAACTTAATAAAATACTCACCAAGTTCCTAAGGGGCAATGAAAGACTATGATGTAAAAAAAAATGACAATGTACAGTATTTAACTGTGGGTGTTTGCCTCTGCTTCCATCAGTCACTGGATGAAGGCAACAGAACCCAAGGAACCCAGCGACAGAGAGAGAGAAGTGAAGAGCAAACTGGCAAAGAATGGGCTGGCAAAACCAGCAGAGACAGCTGATCCAAACAGAGGAGAGCTCTTGGACCCCAGACCGACAGCTGGGAGGCCAGCATGGAACTGATCCAGACCCCCTCAATGTGAGAGTCAATGAGGAAGCCTGGGCTACCTATGGGGTCCTGAGCAGTGGATCAGTGTTTATCCCTCGAATACTAACAGACATCGTGTGTCCATAACACAAAGAGGGTTGCTCTCTCTGCCTGGACTCTTAGAGAAGTGCCTGGACCCTACCCTGAATGAAATGATAGACTCTAGATATCCCCTATGTGGAAGGAATTGGCAATAGGGTGGGAGGATGGGGTGGATGGTGGGGGGAGTGTGGGAGGAGGGGAGGAAGAGGGAACTGGGATTGACATGTAAAACAAGCTATTTAAAATTAAAATAAAAAAATCACAAAAAATGACAATGTAAATTAGTAAAATTTATGGATACCAGAAGTCACTTAAACATCGTGATGCTGTAACTATTATAGCAGTGCTGGATCAAGAATAAACAAAGAAGCAGGGTGTGGTGGTGCACACCTTTAATCCCAGCACTTGGAAGCAGAAGCAGGCAGATCTGAGTTCGGGACCAGCCTGGTCTACAGAGCCAGTTCCAGGACAGCCAGAGCTATACAGAGAAACCCTGTCTTGAAAACAAATGAACAAAAAAGAATTCAAGACAAATAATAAGCAACCCAGCAGCAGCGTGTATGTAATGATAAGCTTCACTTGTCGACCGGACACAACCTGGAATCCGCTGGGAAATCTCTATGAGGGATTGCTTGTGTGAGGTTGATGTGTAGGCATGCCTATGAGTAGTTGTCTTTTTTTGTTTGTTTGTTTGTTTTTCAAGACAGAGTTTCTCTGTGTAACAGCCCTGGTTGTCCTGAAACTCACTCTGTAGACCAGGCTGGCCTTGACCTCACAGAGATCCCTTTCCTCCGTCTCCCAAGAGCCAGAATTAAAGGGGTATACCACCACCACCTGGCTGTGGGTGGTTGTCTTATTTAAACTAATTGATATGGGAAGACCCAGCCCACTGTGGGCAGCACTTTCCTTACGCAGTGAACCCTGAAGTGCGGAAGAATGGAGAAGTAAAGCTGAGCAGAGGCTACCGGACATGTATTGGGCTTGTTTCTCTGTCCCTGACTGTAAATGTGATGGAACATGTCTATATTGACTTCCCCACAATGATGGACTATGATGTGGAATTGAGATAAAAATCAAGCTTCTTTTCTAAGTAATTTCTTGTCAGGATATTTTATCACATCTCCAGACATGAGGCCAGAGCACCCTGTGACATACATGACTTGAGGTTTTTTACAAAGTTCTAATCATAACAGAAGTTTGGATTATTGAGCCTGAAGAGATGATGTGGCAGTTGGGAGTACTTGCTGTTCACACAGAACACCCAGGTTCATTTCAGTTCCCAGCCCCTACATGGGGTGCTCATAACCTCCTGTGTCTCTAGTTCCAGGGGATCCTACGTCCTCTCCTGACTTCCTCGAGCATTGCACTCATATGAAGCACATACATTCATGCAGGCAAAACACTCATACACATCAAATAAAAATAAGTAAATCTTTTTTAAAAGAAAGGGCAACACAAGGATGAACACTATCAAAATATATTATATGCGTGTATGGAACTCTCATAATGAATCACTTGTATAACTAGAAATGATGAATATATATTTAAATAAAGGAAGCAAATGTAAGTGAAAAGGCTGATTTGTTTGCCCTAAAATTCAAACCTTGGGTACAAGTCCAAAATAAAAAGAAAGAAATGAAAGATGCATTTGGTAGAGAATTAGAATAAGCATTTATCAAACTTACTCAGTTCTCAAAACTAGCTTATAAGATAAATATTATTTCTGTCTACCTTATAGAAGAGCAACTGAGGTTTATCAAAGTTCAAATCAACTAGAACTTGCTAATACTAAATTTCAAAGCCAGGTCTGTCTGGCCCAACACACATCCAACAAACCACTCTATTACCACTCATGTACAAGTTAACAGCATCCATAAGTTATAAGCAGCTCTTTTAAAAAATTACAGTCGTGTAGCTCAAAATGAAAAGAAGACATTCAACAAAATTCAGCAAAATATGAAAGCAAGCCATTACCATTCCGAGGAAGACCAATTAAGATGAGAAACTTCTATTTATCGAGGTTATACTTAGAGTTTTGTTTTGTTTTTTTAACATCCTGTGTTGGGTGTGTCCAGGAACTATCTGGCAGTGTGCAGCAGCAACAGAGCTTCGTAGCATCCTCATATGCGCAGGGCCTTCTCTTCTTAGGACTCAGACAGAGAGGTGAGAGGTGAGGGCTGGGCAGGACAGAATCTAGTGGGTCTCATCTGGATTCGGCACCTTCCCCGTGTCAGGAGAAATGCATGGTAAATGACAACCAATGAGAATTAAAGGATCTATCAAGGGTAGACAGAATGACAGATGTCTATGCAGGACAGATGGAGGTTCTCCTGTTCCTTTTGAATACTGACCAGGTACATCTGCAGCTTGAAGAAATCCATTACGTTCATTCTTTGACCAAGTACTTCCGTTTAAACAAACTTTTAAGAAGTGTCTGAGGCTCCAAGATGGCTGCGTGGGGAAGGAGGCGTATGGGTCCAGGCGGCGGTGGCTCCTGAGAGAGGGTTAGCGTGTCAGCCACCGACTGCTACATAGTGCATGAAATCTACAGTGGGGAGAATGCCCAGGACCAGTTTGAGTATGAGCTGGAGCAGGCGCTGGAAGCCTAGTGATAGAGCCAACCCGGATTGGAGATGAGACAGCACATTGGATCACCGTGGGCAATTGCCTGCGCAAGACAGCCGTGTTGGCTGGCACTGCTGCCTCTTCACCCTATTGGCATTGCCCCTGGATTACTCCCACTACACCTCCCTGCCCGCTGCTGTGCTGAGCCTGGCCTGCTGTACCCTCTATGGGATCTCCTGGCAGTTTGACCCTCGCTGCAAGCACCAGGTGGAGTACGATGCCTATCTACTGTCCCGCCTGCCTCTGCACATGCTCGCCTCCTCCACACCAGCGGTGCTGGTTCCGAAGGACGACCTGCACAGAAAGAGACTACAACACAGTAGTCCTGGCTGCGCTGGTGTACTGTGCAAAGAAGGTTTATGAGCTCTGCGCTCTGTGACTGCAGGAAGGGGGACTGAGGCAGAACCACAGGGCCCACAGGACTCAGATCCCTACAGCAACACCTTGGCTTTTCTCCGTGAGGCAACAGCACCTGGCAAAGTGTTTGGTTTAATACTTATTATTTTTAAAGAAAAAGAACAGATCATGGGTAAGCCAGGGGTTTATTCATCTATTTACACTAAGATGTCTCTTTCCATAACCCAGGAGTGGGTCCTAGGTTGTCGAAGTCTGACTGGGCAATGGAATATGGATGGAGCCAACGCTACTTACTGAGGGGTGTGAACTTGCTGTGGGGGTGTCTTAAGTATATTGTTTAACTATACCATTCAGAAGCCAACCAGAAGCTATTGACCATTAAAATTATGAGAATTTCAAAAAAAAAAAAAAAAAGAAGTGTCTGAGAATGACCCCAAAACTCCATACTGGGCCTGTGAAAGCGGAAGATCAGAAACCTGCCCGTCTTCCAGTAAAGAGCGGGCCACGTGGGTTTTGTCTTTTAAAACGGCACACTGCCATCAGAACCCATGGTGTTTCGAGAACATTTTACAACACAGGAGAATGTCTACAGAGTAACCTGTCCTGGAATAGCATGTTGTCCACGGATGTGAACTTTGATAACTGGGAGAAATGCAGCCCATAAAAATTTTCCACCAAAATAAAGCTGCCAAAGATGGGCCAGAGTCCCAAATGTCAGTAGCCCCTACATGACAGGGTCCCTCCTTTTCTTTGAACACGGAATAAAGGATTCAAGTTGAACCCAAGCCCTTCCTGGGTGACTGTCCCAAACTAGGTATGAGTAAGTGAGACAAGTCCTGGAATGTCACCTTCCTTTCTCAGGGACACATGAAGTATTCCCCTGCTTTCAATATCCAGGAAGTTGCCTAGGAATTAGGTGTGTATCGTTGGAGCAGTTCACTCCCATCTCTGGCTAACATGTTCCTCATCTTTTGAATGGGAGAACTTGGGGCAAGCCCTTGATCGCCCCAGTGTTGATGGAGTACCATACTCTGGAGTTTCCATTTGGGTCCCCATGGGATGCCAAGCCTCAGCTACTCTCTTTCACCAAGGGCAGAGCCAGTATCCATGAAACTCAGGGTGGGGTCCTTGAGTAAAAGGAGAGTGATTTGTTCAGGAGGCCAGGGAGGCAGGAGTCTCATAGACACCTACATTGGCCCTGGCCAGAGAATTAATTAGTCAAACCAGAGCTATGTACTATCCATCCTGTATAAGCCATGCTAGCCCAGGCAAAGGGCAATGCCACTAGATGCTTTTGGAAGTGCCCTCCCAAGGATGTTGGTCTCACTTCCATCCACGGGGGCCCAAGATGAGGGGTTAGGCCTGGCCTCTCTCACCATGTCAACCTGAACCAACCCTGGCCCTTTGATATCCCCATTTCTTGGCATCACTTCTTACCATCCACGATGATCCCTGCCCCTGAGGGAGGGTCAAGACCTTAAGAGAGTCAGGAGGGCAAATGCCTCTCTCAACCATCACCCTGAACACCATCAATGAAGCCGAACACAAGAAATGCAGAAATGAAAAGGCTCCTTTGCTTGGAGCCTTAGGAATTGAGATCCTGGAGGCACGAGTTCTGAGAGTCTGCCTTAGTGTTCTGAAGAAGACACAGGTGACAGGAGCTTAAACTGGCAAGCAGAGCTCACTTGCTACAAAGCAATGAAATACCCTTCGTAGGAATAGCGCACTGAGTGTTGAAGAAGGAAGGGGGATATGCTAGGCCTGATGGTGCAGGCCTGTAATCAAAGCTACTGGGGAAACTGAGGTAGGACCATCACAAGTCTGAGGACTGACTGGGCTACAGAGCTGCAAGTACAATGCCAGCCTAGGAAACTTAGCAAGGCCTTGTTTCAAAACTTAAAAAGTTAAAGGGGTTAGGAATGTAACCCAGTTGTAGAATGCTTGCCTAGCATGTGAAAGGCCCTGGATTTAATCCCCAGTAGAGCTGTTGGATAGGCAGTGGGGCATAACTGGGGTAGTAACCAAAGGAAATCAATGGAAGAATTACATGCTTAGTAAACATGTTCACAAAACAAGAGTTCAGTGCCATCTCCCTATGCATCTTCAGACTCTGGGCACAACTAACTGGCCTGGTTGCACCAGTTGTTCCAGATGCCTGGAGTCAGAGGGTGGAGGTGGCCAAGGCTCACATTCCCAGGCAGAGCAGGCGATGTAAGTTGAACCACCTTAAAGGAAAAAGTCTCTGTGCGTGGCTTTCATTATAACCCCTCCTCCATGTCCCACTCTACAGATGAGAAAACTGCAACCTGAAGACAGGCAAGAAGACTTGCCCAATACTCAGAGGCAGGGGGGTGGGGCCAAGATCAGGGAAATGCAAGCCCTAATCGTCCTCTGGTCCTCCTCCCCTGACTCAACTGCTCTGGCATTGTTAATTTTGGGGCCTCTGGGCCCTGAGCTTATTGGGTGCCACAAAAGAAACATGAGAATCCAGGGCTCCCTCCTCCTGGTAGTCCTCCTGGCTTTGGAGACCCAATTGCCTGTGGCCTTGTGTAGGAATAAGGGAGGTGAGTGTCCGTGAACCCCCCTACTCCAGGGGCCAGTTGCTTTCTTCCTCTCTATGAGAGTGAGGGCTTTGGGAGAGCCAGTGGGGTGTATGTGCACACGCGTGCGTGCGTGCGTGTGTGTGTGTGTGTGTGTGTGTGTGTGCGTGTGTGTGTGTGTGTGTGTGTGTGTGTGTGTGTGTGTTCGTTCACATGCTTCAGTGCTCCCAGGAGCCTGTATTTTTATCTGTACATCATGCTTGTTATGCTTGGGTCTTCACCTGTGTATTAACTCTGCCACTTTCCCAGTGCTTGCCTGTGCCTAATTCACATCTGATTGTTTTCAAGGACACACACCTTGTTCTGTGTGCGTATGTGCCTGTGAAAACCTCTGTCTATATACATACGCTTAGTATGTCTGAACTTATGGACATGTCTACATGTATTTATGTGTCACTGTGTCTCTCTGTATAGGGGAAAACATACCTACCATTCTGATGGCATCAATGATGGCGGGGGTAATAAGCCTTCTCTGGGCCCAGGAACCTGTAGAAGGGACTTGGAATGTGGCCCCTGGGATCTGTGCTCTGATGGGAGGAATCTCTGCTTTTACTTTTCTTATTCCTTTCCCCTGTGTCAGACCCATCTCCACCTCTGACAAAACTCAGATGGTGGGTTGACAGTGAGGGATGCAGAGGTGTTCTTACACAGGCATCTTCCTATCCGGGTGAGGCCACTCCTCCATCCCCTCTGAGGCTGGAATGCTTTGACCTACATTCACTTCTTCAGAACTGACCCTGCTTTTGTATAGAAATAGGGACAGAAACCCTTCCTCCAAGGCTGGGGAAGCCTGTGCACGGTCAGTAGATAAAGAGAGCGACTTCTACATGGCATCCATCCCTTTTAGCCTGAATTATGCCTTTCTCAGAGACACAGGGCTCTGCCTGGGGCATGAGATGGTCTGGGGAGGAGGGTGCTTGGAGATCCCTGGGTGAGGACGGAAGGATGCTAGGAGGTTCCAAGGCCAGACCTTGTGTTGCCTGTGATTCAGGCAGCCATCACGTAGAACTCTTCTCTGTGTTGCAGTGAGTCAGTACTATTTTTATCGCCCATTTTACTGATAAGAAAACCAAGGCAGAGTGGTAAAGATCTGCCCAAGGTCAAAGAATAAGATGGTATCAAAAGTGGTGTCTGGTCGTGGTTCTTGTGAGTAAGAAGGGTTTACTTCACCAACTCACTCCCCATGAAATGGGGTCCATGCTCTCCTCTCAAGAGTAAATGGGGCCCTGAAGGATAAATGTCAGGTATGCCCATAAGTGCAGCGTACGTGGTGACCTTTTAGAGAGACTCAGTGCACTGATACCACACCCAGGTTGAGAGACCTGGTTCCACCAGAGCTTGGGCCTGCTCTGCCTGGTCAGGTGACACACTTACCATTACTAGTTCATATCAATCCATCCTTCCCTGGCTCCTCTCCCACGAGACATCTCGGTAGAATTTCAGACAGTGACAAAGGCTGGGGGAAGGAAAACCTTAGCTTGCCTAGGTGGAAGCTCAACCCCTGCTTTAATTTATAGGAGCCCATGCTCCTCGTTCAAAGGTCAAGGTGTTGGCAGTTTTGTGGACTTACACTTAGAGAGCTGTGTGCCAAGGGCTAGGCTCATGTACCCAACTTCATCTGTGAAGCTGAATATACTGATTTAACCATGCCCAGGTAAGATAGCTACACAGGCATGGAGTCTATACATTGGCTGCCGTATGTGTGTGGGTGTGAAAGAGTGTAAACAAGTGTGAGAGAGAGAAAGAAAAGGAGAGACTCACAAAAAATGTGTCAACGAGACCAGCTACGGTGTGTGTGAGAGAGTTTTGTATGAGCGTGTGTGTGTGTGTGTGTGTGTGTGTGTGTGTGTGTAGACAGAGACAGAGAGAGAGAGAGAGAGAGAGAGACAGAGAGAGAGAGAGAGAGACTCATAGCACGCATGGAGGAAAGGTGGTAAGGAGATCAGGTAGAGAAGTATGACATACACCTCTCTCGCACACTCTGGACTTTTATGTCTGTCTCCACTCTGTGGCACTGACACTTTGTCCCACTTAAAATGCCAACTTTCTTCCCCATCCCTATCAGTCTAGTTCCTGGAACCCAACCCCTGTGCCCTGCTCCAGAAGTTCTCCTGCCTCTATCCTGCAGTCTACTCTCCACCAGTGCGCACCCTCCCTACCCCCCTCTAGAAGTTTCTGCTTCCTTGCTTAGCATTCAGACAGCTCCATTTGGCCCACTGTCTGAGGCCTGAGCATCCCTGTACTGGGCTTCTGAGTTTGATATTAAATCCTAACCTCTAGGTAGTCTCCAAAGACTCTTACCTCCCCCAGCCCACCCCATGATAACACACAGGTTATCTTCCCTGGAAAATACCCACATTCCCTCACAAAGAGACATTCCTCAAAATGTGTGCTCTCTCCCAAGCTGTTTTTCACTCTCCAGAAGGGGGCAGCAGTTCAGCTTAAACCATTACTTTAAGAACTAAAGCTGACAGTGGACCAGTCGAGGACCACCTACTGTGTACACAGTCAGTGTCCAGGAAGGGTCAGAGAGAGAAGGTTGACTTTGAGTCAAATGGAGCTGTCTGAACTCCAAGCAAGGAGGCGGGATCTTCTGGGGGGTAGGCAGAGCTGGTGTTGGGTGGGTTGCAGGATAGAGGCAGGGAGAACTTCTGGAGGAGAGTCCCTGGGATCATATCCTAGCCCTGGATCCAACTGAAGCTGCTGTGATGCTAGATTGAACTAAAGCCCTAGGACCAGCCCTATCCTTATAGCTCAAAGCAGCCAAAAGCAGAACAAACCGATAAAAGGGAACAAGACCCAGAGAATACTAGTGCAGGCCAGGGCTTGGGTAGGCTGGCTACTGTCCTTTGAGGGCTTTAATTTGTGTGTGTGTGTGTGTGTGTGTGTGTGTGTGTGTGTGTGTGTGTGTGTGTGTGTGTTTAACTCATAGAAAATGTTTCAGTTGGGCTGGAGAGATGGCTCAGCCATTAAAGGCTAGGCTCACAACCAAAAATATAAGAAAGTGTGTCAGTGAGTAAGATTTCCAACTTGTGTGTGAAATCACAAGAAGATTATTAGATCAACTCCAGGACAGAGCATTCTAGAGCTGCTAGGGGGAAGGGCTCAGAGACAGAGTTGATGCTTGGATCTGAAGTGGTGGGCACAGTACTGCAGGTGTGCCTGGTTGGCAAGCAGCTGGCATACGTGCAACACTGGGCCTCCCTTCAAATCCCTCTCTTCCCAATGGTCATTAAGGCCCCCGCACTGTGCACTGTGCTGTGCTTAGGAAGAAGAGGGCAAGCAGGCGACAAGTCTCAACCTCTAGCCCATGGGAGGGACAAGCAGCTGCAGGCACACACTCCAGTGCTGACCCGCCTCCATGGGCTCGGAGAAGCAGGGTCTTCTGAAGAGGTGACGTTTCAACTGAGATCAACAAACTGACCAAGGGGCCAGGGTGGAAGACGGTGCCAGGCAAAGCCTGAGCCTTGTGGGAAGTGAGTGGACTTGGAGGTACTCAGGAGAGCAGGAGAACAGGAGAACAGGAGAGCAGGAGAGCAGGAGTGACGGAGAATGAAGCCAGGGAGATGCAGGTGGGCAGGGACTGGACCAGGCATCATCTTATTGTCTGAGGTGGAGACTGTGTGTACATGGGTATGTATGTTGGCACATATGTGTGTACAGGTGCACATATATGTGCAGGCATGGAGACCAGAAAACAGCGACCTAGACTGTCAGTTCTCTGGTGGCTCCCACCTTGTTTTTGAGTCACAGTCTCTCATTAACCTTGAACTCATCTAGTAGACCAGGCTGACTGGTTGGCAGACCTCATCGATCAGCCTGTCTTCATCTCCTAGGGGCTGGGATTACAAGCACAGGTATCATGCCCACACACACACACACACACACACACACACACACACACACACGTGCATGCTTATTTTTTAACATACATTTTGAGGGTCAAACTCAGGTCCCAACTAAGTGATCTCTGTAGCCTGAGTTTTTCAGTTTCATTGTTTCCTATCCATTATGCCCCTTGAATGTCAAATTAGCCCTACACGGTAGAAAAACTATAAAACTCAGGCTGGTGGCAAGCGAGAAGTAAGAGACGGAGAGGTTAGAACCTGCAATCCCCCAGTCAGTGATTATTACACAACCCTGAGCTGCCTCAGCTTGCATGACGTGAGGGTTCTCGTACAGACAAATTGGGGGGCTGCCCACCAGACGACGGGCCTTGCCTCCAGGTGACCCCTGATCAGTGCTTGAATGACCGCCAGTGTCCCTCATCTTTGAAGTGCTGCTCCAGATCCTGCTTCCTCCAATGTGTCCCTCGGGTCTCAGGTGAGTGCCCACTCCACTGTGCCAACGCCCAAGCCTCAAGCCCCAGGGCTGGTGGGCACAAGCAAGACTCACTCAAGCCGCTGTACTGCAGTGAAGCTGGGAAACTGCCCGGTGGATAAACTCCGCTGTCTCAATCCTGTAAAGCACATGTGTTACCAAGACTCGGACTGCTCAGGCAAAAAGCGGTGCTGCCTTGGTGCCTGTGGCCGGGACTGCCGAGACCCCAGCAAAGGTACCATTCCTGGGGCCCGGGACGGTGCCTTCCCCTCCAGCCTGGCTCTGGGATGTCCTTCCAGGTTAACGGTCTAGCAGGATACGCCCCCAGAAGCGAGCCCCCCCCCCATGGTCACAGCTGGAGAAGTAGTGTACAAGGGTTCCCATTAGAGTGTCAGAGAAACCGGTTCCCCTGTTCTGTTACTGAACGTGCTGTGCCACCAAGACCACATCCCTGAGCTGCCTTGGACCTCAGTTTGCCCTTTTGCAGGAGGCTGGGGAGTCCTGCCTCCGCAATCCTGAGTTGGCTTGATCGGATCTAGATGGAGGAGTAAAACTCAGAGTTCTGGTATAGAAGCGGGGGGTTAACCCTTTCTTTCCCTTTCTTTAGGCTAATTCTGGCTTAGGATCTGTGACTCTGTGCCTCAGGTGTGTTTTCCACCGGGAAGAGATCATGGTGGAGGCCAGGGATCCTGCCATCCAGCTCATCTCTGCAGAACAGTTGTACCTGACAGACACTGGCTTGTTGCTAGCTGCTTTCCCCTACAACGCATGCCTCCAGGGTTCTCTTGCTGCGTGCAGGGAGACCTTAAAGACACATCTCATCACTGCAGTACCCCATCCCTTTTCATGCCGAGCTTCCCACCCTACCTCAGTTGTTTCTACATCCTCCTCTACTTCCTGTTTCCTCCACTTATGCCAACTCAAGCAGCCCCTTCTCTACCGAGCCCTGAACCCATCCCTGGACAGTTCTCTCTGTAAAATTAATGTCTGCCAGGAATTCCCAAACAACAGTCCATACACTCATCCTGTTACAATCTTCCCCATCCCTGCAGAACCACACTAAAATGTGTCAAGTTGTATAAAGTAACCCCTGTGCATCTATTTACTTAGTGTCTTTGTCTAAATGGCTCACTTTGGGATGTAACAATTCATTTCTAAAGGATGGTGGGGTCGGGTCACTACAGTAAGTGAGATCTGAAAGATCCCTGGTCATAAACAGAATGAAATTGTGAAGTCAGTTATAATGAAGACAGCAGTTTCCTTAAGTTAATTCATGCTCCAGTTAGATATGGCCACCTGCCAAGGCAGAGCCTGTCTCTGTTTTAATAAATGGAGATTAACAAGGGTTAAAGAGATGTCGGAGATGCAGAGCTCTGACTGAGTCAGCTCCCTGGGCAGTGGGAAGTGCAAAGAGAGCCTGACACTTGGGGAGTCGATGTCATTTCATGTTGTAGCCAAGCTCTTGTTAAGATCATTCCAATTGTCCCATATCCAGGGAAAGGTGCCCCAGCAGCTGGGATGTCATGTGTAGAGTAGGTCTGTCTCCCATGTTGGTCTGTGGCTCACTTTTCTTGATTTCCCTGGAGTCCAGCCTACAGTCAGAGCCTAATAAGGGTTTCTTGAGAGGAGTCAGAAAGTACCCATCCATTATTTGGATCCAGACAGCTAAATTCCTGACTCTCCTTCCCAGGACTGACTAAGAGGGGAAAGGAGGCACACGCCCCTGCCGCACTCCGCCCTTTCCTCTGCTGAGCCTCCTTTTGTCCACTAGACTCAGGCTACTACAGAGATGGACCTGGGAATTCTGGCTCTCCCGTCCCTGCTCCTGTGACCCCACTGTGCAGCCCAGGAGCCCTTCACCACTTCCCTTTGTAGTCCAAAAGATGAGCCAAGTTCCACCTTCTGGCTGCCACAGCCCTTCTCACTAGATTCCAATGCCTGAACTGTTGACTCATAATAACAGTTGCTAACAACATAGATCAAGGTGACACCTAGGAAAAAGAAAGCTCTCTGGAGTCATGGGAGGGATCTGTGCCATCTTGGATATTTCTCGGCCTCCTTCTGGGTCTCAGTTTCCTCACTTGTCACATTAACACAGATAATACAGGATCATAGTCTTGGCCCACCATGTCCCTTCCCTTCCAGGTTCCCTAGGGGATAGTGTATGTCCCACCTGTAATAGCCAGTTTATAAATTGCCAGCTTGGCTTCTGGACATCCCTGGGGCGGGGGCTATCTTGGTATGCTAAGTGATGGAGGAAGACCCATCTTGATTGTGGGTGGGACCATTCCCTAGGTATTGGATACTGATATAGACAGAATGAGGTGAGTGAGCAGGGCAGAGCATGCGTGTACTCATCAACCTCTTCCAAATGCAGACATCATATGACCAGCTGCATCAAGCATCCACTTCCTTGACTCCCCCGCCACGAAGAGCAATCTCTTGATCTGTGAGCTGAAATAAACCTTCCATTGCTTTTGTCAGAGTGTTTTGTCCCAGCAACAGAAAGAGGAGCTATGACAGTACCCCAGTAATTTGGAGCCTAGCTGGGAACCTGCTTAGGTAGAACTAACAGTCACAAGCTACCATCCTTCTGGAAGTTTCCAGCCTCTGTCACAAGAAGAGCTCATCCGGAAGCCAGTGACCTAAAGCTCAGCTGCCTCAGCGACACCTCACACTTATGGGGGGCTAATTTAATATTTGTGGGAGGAAGTCACAGAAATATGGCAGCTGCTAGGAACTGACTGCTACTTAGTCCAGAGTGAGTGCCCACCCTTTGCTTCCCACTTTAAAACACATTTTTTTCACCCATCACCCAGAGGAAGTGGAGACTGGTACTCCTGTGTAGCAATGGAGAAGCAGTTTGAGACAGCAACCTGTCCCAGCTCTTAGTTGGGATGTGGTGGGAGGTGATACAGTCAGAATTCAGCTACAGCATCTCCTTCCTTGGACAACAACCAACCCAGACAAGAGCTGACCATCACAGAGTAACCACCCTGTGCCCCATATCCTTTCATTCACATGGACAATCAACCCCACTGAATCCTCACAGGTCTACTGAGTAGCTTTTGTTTCTCCCTGTTTCACATACAAACAGAACTGAGGGACAAAGAGGTTAATTTAGACAAAGCCAAAGGAGTCAAACATACCAGAGCTAGAATTCAACCTGGAACCGTTGGGTCCCAATTCTTTATATCCTTATTAAGTAGTTACAGTAGGTGGATGCTTTAACAAGGGTATCCATAGATAAAAAAACAAGGCTTGCACAGCTCCAAGAAGCTCCTGTGAACATGCTCGATCATGGACACCAGAGGCCTGGTGGGTCACACCTCATTTCCCCAGGTTTCATTCTTGAGGGAGAAAAAGATGAGGCTCAGGAAAGAAGCCTCCATGTGTTGGGGAAGTCCTGTGTATATGTCAATAAAGCACTGTTGGCTAATAGGGAAGCAACATAGGTGGGACTATGAGTCCAGGAGGATTCTGGGTAGGAGAAACACAGGAAGTCAAGATGTAACTGCCATGGGGTAGGAAGCCCGGAAATTTCTCCGGTAAGAGAAATATTTAGATTAACAATTATGGGATAAATCCTTAAGTCAGAGCTAGTCAGTAAGAAACAAGCAAGGCCAACAGCTTCATAATTAATATAGTCTCCTGTGTGTTTATTTGGGACTCGTGCGGCTCTGGAATCAGGCTGGTGGGAAGGCTTCTCTCAAGGAAAAGGCTTCTCTTTACATCCATATAAACCAGCTAATGTTTGGAAACGAATGGTCCAATAGCACTCTAGGGGTCTTGAATTCTGAGTTAGGTCCCTGGAGTGGCAGGAGGTGCCAGATCACAGGCTGTGGCTTCTAAAATTATAGGGGGAATAGCCATACAGTCTCTCTAGTCCAATTCCTGGTCCACTCACCATCTACTTCTTGGAGACTAGCCGTGTCTATGTAGCCTCTCCTCAGCCCTCAGCTGCTGAGCTCCCGCTGCAAACCCACTGCGCTTGTGGAAAGTCTCCTGGCATGCTGGGACCCCAGTTCCTTTGCAAATTCCAACCTTGTTTTCTGTCTTTATTCATTCAATAGTGTTTGATGAGCCCTTACTATAGGCTACAGGCCATGCCTCACACTCTAGTGGATGAAATAAGGGCCCAGCTAGGAATCTACATGATATACAGCAGGCTGTAAAGGCCTGCCAGGCTACTGGAGGCCATAAGAGGCCTGGAAGCTGTCCAAGCCCAAACCCTGAGTTTTGGTAGGAGAAAATGTGACACACTAATCATCCACCCACACCCCCATTTCCAACAATAGTGTCTCCAATTAGAAATAACATCTGTAGCACTCAGCTACTAGAACGCTTATGACAGTCTACATATTGCCCAGGTAACACAGACACAGAAACTTGAAATGTGAGTTCTGCCACAAGTGTATATTTGTGCACTTTAATAACAGTCCATATTGATTTAAAAAGTTAAATTAACTTTAAACCTCCCCCCTGGCTTCCTTCCAGCTAGAGAAGTCAATGTGGCTCCAGACCGGCCAGTCAGAAGTAGAGATTAGTCTACTGGGAAGGCCTTCCCAGAAAGCCACAGTTTTCCCACTGATAGACAAAGTCAGCCTTTGCTCCTCTCCTCCCCTTCCCCCCCCACCATGGACCTCTTCACACTTCCTGGAAGGTGGATGCTACACCTACAACCTAGAGAACTGTCTTGGTTGGACTCCCCCAGTGAGCATCTTGGCATACAGATTCATTTGATGGTACTGATTTAGAGGCTCATGGGAGTTGACAGAGGGTGAAACACGCAGGGCATCTGCAGAAACAAATGTAGCTCTCCTCTTGCGAGCAATACAAGGCTTCGGCAGCCTGGGGGAAGCTCTAACAAAGGGGCACAGAAAGACAAGCTTCTCAAAGGGAAGGCATCCCAGGAGCCACTGTGCACAAAAGACTACTGGGTCCTCTAGGGGCTGTGCATAAAGCACCAGTGTCCTCCACTCCTGGGACAAGGGTCCCACCAGAGAGAGCAGGAGAGAGTCCCAAGGAGCCTGATCTGCAGAGCTGCTCAGGGCAGCTGTATCGGCTGCATCCTACAGCAAAAAACAGACTCTTCTCTAGTGTAGCCACTGGGAACCCATTTCTGTTCCTGCAACTAACTTAGCTTGAGACAGCAAAGGGAAAGTTATTTATGGGAATGGCACAGCACATGCTAACCTGCTCTGAAATCCAGAAGGGAGATCTGATTCTCATTTTGCACATAAGGAGGAGAAACAGCTAAGAAGAGACACTTGGTTCAAGGTCACACAGGAATCCAGTAGCAAAACCCTTATCTATCACTGAGTAACAAGTCACCATGAATGAAGTAGATTAAACAATATATACTTATTAGGTCATAGTGTCCTTGAGTTAAGAGGCCCAGCACAGGTCCTGTTCTTTCTGAAGCTGCAGCCACATTCAGCCTGGGTGGGAGTCTTATCGGAGCCTCGGCTAAGAAGCCTCAGCTTGCAAGCATTTGCTGGCAGCTTTTCAGCTCTGTGAGGGCAAAGGAACCAAACACCCAGCTGGCAGTGGGCAGAAGTCACCCTCACAGTGGGCAGAAGTCACCCTCACAGTGGGCAGAAGTCACCCTCATTTTCCTGCTCTTCCAGCGGGGTAACTTGCTTCATGAAAGTCAGCAGAAGTCATAACCTTACATAATCTAATAACAGAACCGATATGTCATCACCGTACTCTAGAAGCACACCAGTAAGTCACATACACAAGCACACACTCTCAAGCACACACTTACACTAACACACATAAAACTACACCAGCACTCATACATTATACACACATATACTAATAGCATATACACATACATATACTAACACACATACATACACAATACACTAACAGCATATATCCATATATATACAAACACATATACTAACACACACATATATACTAACAGCATAAACACATATATATACTAACACACATACGTACATACATACACTAACAGCATATACACATACATATACTAACACATACATATATTCACACATACACTAATAGTATATATACATATATATATATATATATATACACATGCACAGACATTGAAACACACATAAATGACTACAGTCTAGACATGCCATTCACAGATTTATGATCTACAGAAATGGTGAGATGACAAATTTGTAAGGTAGGAGATGCTGAAATTATGATAATTTGTAACACTGCAATTAAAAAAAAACTAGTATACTACATTTCAAAACCTCAGCCCAAAAGTGAATATAGGAAGTATCTCATTATTAATTTCTTTATTGATATCATATTAAAATTATATTTGGGACATATTGGGTTAAATAAAATACATTATTTTTAAAACTCATCTTTTTTTAAAGACATTTGTTTATGTATGTGGTATTTTGTCTGCATGTTTGTCCTCACACCAGAAGAGGGCATCAGCTCCCATGGGACTATAGTCATAAACAGTTGTGAACTACCATGTGCGTGCTGGGAATTGAACTCAAGCAAGACCTCTAAATGAGCAGTCAGGCTCTTAACTGCTGAACCACCTTTCCAGCCCTCTTTTTACTTTTTTCATGTTGCTATCATAAACAAAACAACAAACAAACTGAGATAGTATCTTATGATCCCAACCGGCCTAGAACTCACTATCCAAGCAAGGATGACCTTGAACTTCTGTGCCCGCCCCCCACCTTGTGTCCTGACTGCTGGGATGACAGCTCTAAGCAACAGAGCCTGGTTTGCACAGTCCTGGACATCAACCCCAAGTGCTTCATGCTCAACAGGCAAGCACTCTACCGTCTGAACCTCACTCCCCCAGTCGGGAACTTGTAAATGACATAAGTGGCTCACATCTTATCTGTTGTACACTTGGTGTAAACTTCAGCCATGTGACCTAGCCGCACAACTCCAGCTGATAATAACAGCTCACCCCACCAACAGATATGTTCACATGTTGAATGGTGGGATGGGGCTCATGTTGGCCCAAGGGAGGCCCACAATCAATACTGGTGACGACTGTTATGAGTGAAGGAGCCAGCCACCCAGGAAATGCTGGAGGGTGGGGGTTGTTAAGTATTCAGCAAGGTTGTCTTTCCATTTCTCCCCCCCCCCCCCCCTCCCCTGTCGCCCCCCCATCCCAACCCTCCTGGAAGGAAGGAAGCCGGATTCTCTAGGTGCATTGGCCTTCTGAGCCTCCGGTACAGAAGGACGGGTTTCTGGCTTCACAACACTCATGGAGAGAGGGGTGCACTAGAGCCTATGCAGGCATAGCTGGGGCTCCAAGGAGCTAAAGCGCCTCCCCAACCTCACAAGTCAGGCCTCCAAGGTCTGAGCAAGTACCTGGACGGCACCTCCTGAGTCAGAAGCTTAAGAGCGTGTCCCTGCCGCGTTTGTGTCAAAACTGCCTGGGCTAAGTCACTTAAAACAGTGCTTGTCACACATTAATCATTAAACAAGTCGTGGTCTCTGTCATTCCTGGGCCAGAGCTTAAAACCTTTCTCCAAGGGTGTCCCCATTCCCTAACCGTCCCATGCCTCCAGGCTCTGACTTTGAAGGATACTCCCAGCTGTTAGGCCCCCATCCATCCCAGGCAAGAATAGAAACCACCGCCTCCGGCCGCCCGACTGCCCGCGGCCTCCCTCCCTCCCCTGGCAGCGATCGATGCAGCCTCAGCCGCAGGGGACGGGAACACAGGAAAGGAGGGGGCCGCGGGGCCTCCGCAGTAGTGAGGCGCAGCGGGGCCTCCGGGGCAGAAAACAGCCCAGCTGGGGCGGCACCTTTGGGGACTGGCACGCTGGACTCCCTGGAGGACTGGACAGGTAAGGAGCCTCCCTGGGGAGGGGCGTGGCTGGGAGAGTGGGAGGCTGGGATGGCCTGCGAACTGGTGCTATAGTCCTTCTAGACCTCCAAGGACGGACAGCCAGCATGACAGGGGTGGTCTTGCTTGCACATTCTGCAAAATGGGATTTAGAAAACCTGGGTGGTGTCAGGATAAAAACACACAGGTGTGCTGTGTGTGAAGAGCTCAGGGAAGCGTCCAGCATGCAAAGGGTGCTCACAAAAAGTACCAAGAGTGCTGAACCAGTTCCCTGAGAGGCCCATGGACAGTCACTCAGTCTTTCTGACTGACTGGGAGTCTTAACAAGAAATGTTTGCTGAATTAATTATCTGAATTCATACAGCAGGAAAGCGAGTGCCAGGTAAATTCCCTTCTGTCACCCTTCTAATGTGTGTAGAAGTGGAATTAGAAACTGCATGTTCTGATGCCAAAGCCGGTGGAGGATGCCAGTGATACACCAATTATGGACCAGGGACTGTACTTCCATAAACATCAGGGCTGTTTAATCCTCAGTCTCTCCTGTATAGTCCAGACTACAAAGGAAGGAACAAACCAGAGCTCAGAGGGGGCAATGGATCCACTCAGGTCAACAGTTAGGAAGTGGCAAGTTCAGAATCTGAACTCAGATCTGATGACAAGAAGGGACACGATTTTGATATTTACTGAGCATCCATTGTGCACCAGGGACTTTGCATGTATTCTCATAAGAATTCATCCGCAGTAGCATGCCCATAGCACAGAATCCAAGCTAAGGATGAAATCCCAATCCCCCTAATGCCAAGCTCAGTACTAGTGAAGGGCATCTGGGCTCCAGGGCTTGGTGTGCCCACCCCCTGGAAGAAAGCATTACTGACCACTCAGTACACATGAGAGACACAGTTTCATGGAGCAGGTATGAGCCAGCAGCCCTCAGTTCCAGGAGGATCAGGGATCAGTGGACAGTGGAAGAATCTAGCATTTCTGGAGTATCAGCTGAAGCCAGACAATTTCTATAAACCATCTGGATCCCCTGGCTATCTCTGAAATGTGTGCTATTGTCTGCATTGTGTATTCTGTAGGAAACCAATATCTAGAGAAAAACAAGGACCAGGTCCATTAAGGATAAAGTTAAATTCCAGTATGCCTGACTCCAGAAGACAGTGACATAGGTGGATAATGTAACAAACTCTGTGAGCCTGGAAAAAGAATTAGGCCACACAATCATTTTACCCACACTGTCAAGCAGATAGTCTGATCCTGCTGGGGAAGGCTAAGAGGAAATATGTAACTGCTAAGGTAACACAGAACCAAGGTCTGAGGTCGGGTGTGAAGGGCACAGGCATATTATTACATAGTCTATCCCAGTAGCTCTCAACTTGACCATGTATTAGAATCACCCTCCTCCAGGCTTCTTAAAAACAGACTGGCTGGGTGCATTGTGTGTATGTGTGTGTGTGTGTGTGTGTGTGTGTGTGTGTGTGTGTGTGTGTGTGTAATTCCAGCACTCGGGAAACTGGGGCCCAAGGATCAAAAGTTTAGTATCTGTCTGAGCGGGCTGCATGGTGAGATCCTGCCTCCAAATAAATAATAAAACGATGTAAAAACACAGAGTGCAGGCTCCTACCTCAGAGGTTGTGAGTCATCAAAATCAGGACAGATTCTGCATCTTGGACCAATTCCTATGATGAAGATTCTTTTAGTCCAGGGAATACACTCTGAGAATCAAGAATCTTTCAGCCATCTTTCTTAATGATCCTAGGTAGTAAGCCTTAATTAGCCCCGTCTACAGAGGAGGATACTGAGGTTCAGAAGAGCTACCGTAGACATCTGGATCCCTAAACCCAAGCTCGTCCAGGAAAAGGTGATGTCCTACACTAGCCCCTAGTTGATGCCCGGCCATCCCGTTGCTTCTAACGCCCATTAAGGTAGGCCTCCCCATTTGTTGTGCCCTGGAGGAAATAAATTGGGGATGGGTGACTTAGTCAAAGTCATCAAGTCTGGGGATGAAGGATATTCAGACCCAGGCCTGACTTGAGTCCAGGGAGCATTCAATATCTGGGTGCCTACTGCATGCCTGGCACTGCACTGTCTCCAGCACCCTGTCTGGTGGATGGATGCAAGGATTTTAACCCACAGGGTAGAACACCTGAGCCATGGTGAGCGAGTTCCCGCGGCCGGGCTGCCGGGTCCCCTGGCGACCAAGAGATGAGGCGCTGCGCGTGAACGTGGGCGGAGTGCGGCGGCTGCTGAGTGCGCGTGCCCTAGCACGCTTCCCGGGCACACGGCTGGGCCGTCTACAGGCGGCAGCGTCCGAGGAGCAGGCACGGCGCTTGTGCGATGATTATGATGCAGCCGCACGCGAGTTCTACTTCGATCGGCACCCGGGCTTCTTCCTCGGCCTGCTGCACTTCTACCGCACCGGCCACCTGCACGTGCTGGACGAGCTGTGCGTCTTCGCCTTCGGCCAGGAGGCCGACTACTGGGGCCTGGGCGAGAACGCGTTGGCCACGTGCTGCCGCGCGCGCTATCTGGAGCGGCGAGTGACACGGCCTCGCGCCTGGGACGAGGACAGCGACACGCCGAGCAGCGTGGACCCATGTCCCGACGAGATCTCCGACGTGCAGCGGGAGCTGGCGCGATACGGTGCAGCCCGCTGCGGCCGCCTGCGCCGCCGCCTCTGGCTCACCATGGAGAACCCGGGCTACTCGCTGCCCAGCAAGCTCTTTAGCTGCGTGTCCATAGGCGTGGTGCTCGCCTCCATCGCTGCCATGTGCATCCACAGCTTGCCGGAGTACCAAGCCCGGGAGGCAGCGGCAGCGGTGGCTGCAGTGGCCGCGGGTCGCAGCGTGGATGACGTGCGCGATGACCCAGTGTTGCGTCGCCTGGAGTACTTCTGCATTGCCTGGTTCAGCTTCGAAGTGTCATCGCGCCTGCTGCTGGCTCCTAGCACGCGCAACTTCTTCTGTCACCCGCTCAATCTCATCGACATTGTGTCGGTGCTACCCTTCTATCTCACACTGCTGGCTGGCGCGGCGCTTGGTGACCGGCGTGGTGCCAGCGGAGAGGAACTCGGAGACCTGGGCAAGGTGGTGCAAGTGTTCCGCCTCATGCGCATCTTCCGTGTGCTCAAGCTGGCACGCCACTCCACTGGGCTGCGCTCGCTGGGCGCCACGCTCAAGGTAGGCTGGCTGAGACAGGGTTGGGGCAGTGGGTTAACTGCTGCATTTGTAGCCTTGCCACATACAGGTGGCAAGACACTACCCACTGAGCCAGGCATAAAGCTAGAGGCCGGATACACATCCATATTCATCCTGATTTAAACTCGCAACTCTGTAAGGAAGGTCTTACTGGACCCGGAGTGATAACTCAGCTAAGAGCCCTAACTGCTCTTCCAAAGGACCTAGGTTAGGTTCCCAGCTCACAATAGTCTGTAACTTCAGTTCCAGGGCATCTGATACCCTCTTCTGGCTTCCACAGGCACTGCACACATGTGGTACGCAAATGTACATGCAAACAAAACGCCCTTACATGTAAATAAAAATAAATCTCAAAAAAAATTAAAAGAAGGGCTTTGGTGCTACCTGTATTCCCCCAGAAGAATGAAGAAAAAAATATATAAAAATAAATACAGAAAATAAAATGGAGGGAATCACGGGGCTGGAGAGATCACGTGTAGTGGAGCAGGAACTGCCTTTGCAGAGGACCCATGTTTGGTTTTCAATACCCACATCAGGTGGCTGACAGTCACTTGGACTGTAGTTCCAGTGGACTCCAGCACTTCTGTGGGCACCCAGACACACATGCATAAAGCCATAAGCATACACAAAATCCTAAATACATCTCTTAAAAATTAAGGTGAACCACTGTTGTCCACAGGAAGGAAGGGAAAAGAGAGGGAAAGGCTTTTGATGCGTCTGTCAAATATCAAATAAGACATAACGCAAAGAAACATGCAAAGCAGGATGCTAATTGGCTTCCCTCCTTGCACTTTTCTTCTAGCCTCTTTGGACGGTGCAGGGAGTCTCAGGTTCCTCTTAACCTAGGAATAGCTGAGAGCTGGCATTTATTGCGCACAGAATGAGTGTTCTGTGCCAATTTCACATTCATTATTGATTAGTCCTTAGGACAACTTCCTCGGCAGATGCTATAATTTATTTTCTTCCCGTAAATGAAGATCCTGGGGTGGCTAAGCTGTTTTATAAGCCTGGTTGCAGTTTATTGGCCACTGGCCCTGCGCAGGGGATGAAATTAGCCTGGTTCAGAGGAGGAGGAGGCAACATGAAGAACTTGTGCCACAATCTGATGAGGGAACAGAGTGCATGTCAGCAGAGGGACACAGGGGGACGAGATGCAAGATTGAGGTATGGGGACATGAACTCTGGACTCATGTCTTTGTTTTCTGTTCCGAGGACAATGAGGAGCTTGTGAATGGCTTGTATTGTCACTACAGATGTGGAAACTGACGTTCTAAGAGGTGACAGGACTTGTGGGTGGCTTCTTAATAAGTGGCAGACCCCAGAGAACAAGCCAGCTGTGCCCACCTCCAGTGTGTTGCGCTCTCCCAAGCTCTAGGTAACCCTGTGAAGGATCCCCAGAAAGGCACCCCCAAGTCCCTCTCCCCCTTCATGACAGCATCTTGCTTGTCCTGATAATGCACAGCAGCCAGAACACCATCCTTTGGTGTGTGCCCTGGGGAAGGGCCTTCAGGTACCAAGCAGAAACAGGGAAATATGTTAGTCAGACCCCTCTAATGCAGAACCACCCTAGGGAAGAGCCTTATGCTTGCCAAACCCTCCCTACTTTGCAGAGAATCAGAGTTTGAGGCTCCTGGCTTTGCCAACAAGGAAGGAGAAGAGCGATAACCGGAGCTGTGAGAGTCGAGACACGGGCTAACATAGCATGGCGTCAGGGCTTACTGCTAAAGTGAGGTCTCAGGCCATCAACAGCTTCCTCGGTGCCCAGAAGCTTGCCAGAAAGGCAAAACCTCTCATTCTACCTCAGACCTACTTGAGTTCTGGCCTTTAAACAGACCCCCACACAATTCTTCTGTATGTTATCCTGCTGTAGAAAAGGGGTTCTCAGAATTGGTGGCATTTGAGGACAGGTAATTCTTCATTGGGAAGAATTATGTTCTGTGAGATAGTAAGCTTTATCCCTGACCTGTATGGATGCGTGCCAGCCTGTCCCCACTATGACAACAAGAATGGTCTCCAAGTAAAGAAAGGTCTCCCAGTATTTCCAACCATCCCTGGTGGGCAAGGTGAGCAGGACAGCTTTGTTTGAGAACCAGACACTCTTTAGAGGGCCTAGGGAACTCATGCCCTCTCAGTTTCCTTGTGGGGCAGACGATATTTTCATACTTGTCAGAAATGTTATAGAGCAATTCAAACGTGCATGAAACCAATTCTTCACATTATGAAATATAAACGTGGCTCTCTTGGTTCTGTGAGTGCATAAAAAACACCAGGATCCTAATTAGTGTAGCCAAACAGGCACCATGTACACAGAAGTTAGGCCTGTGTCCAATCGAAGGGAGTTTTGTTGCTTAATGTAGTTGGAAAAGTGTAGTTCAGAGTCAGGGTCTTGGCACCAGTTTTACCATTTGATGTCGGATCCTCTTTTATACTGTGTAAGCCTCGGTGTCTCTTGATACTAGGCCTGTAAGTCCAGATAGCGCTGACTTAAGTTCATACATTTTGTTTCAGCACAGCTATCGTGAAGTGGGCATCTTACTGCTGTACCTGGCCGTGGGTGTGTCAGTGTTCTCTGGTGTGGCCTACACAGCCGAAGAAGAAAATGAGGGCTTTGATACAATCCCTGCCTGCTGGTGGTGGGGCACTGTGAGCATGACCACTGTGGGCTATGGGGATGTGGTGCCGGAGACTGTGGCTGGCAAGCTGGCGGCCTCAGGCTGCATCCTAGGGGGCATCTTGGTGGTGGCACTGCCCATCACCATCATCTTCAACAAGTTTTCCCACTTCTACCGGCGCCAGAAGGCACTAGAGGCAGCAGTGCGGAGCAGTGGGCAGCGGGCGTTTGAGGACTTGCTGAGCAGCGTGGACGGGGTCTCAGAGGTATCTCTGGAAACATCCCAAGAGACTTCTCAGGAGGGGCGGTCTACAGACCTGGAGACCCAGGTCCCCAGTGAGCCTGCAAAACCTCGAAATTATTAAAACCAGGGCTCCGCACTCCCTCCCCATAGCCTCAGGGTCAGTTAACAGAGCAGAGTCCTCCCCAGCTGAAGATCTGCATGGGAGTCATCCATCCGCCCGAGGAATGAGACCTAGAAAAGCCCAGGGCAAGAGAACACTGCTCCGTGTTCCACAAGCGCACACAACACCTCCTTTGAAGTAGGTAGGCACTAAGAGGAGGAAGAGGACAACCTCCATACAAGCCCCTTTAGCGCTGTGCTGGCAGATAATTATCCCCGTTTCACAGATGAGGGAACTGAAGCTCACCCAAATGTCACAGAGCCACTGCGAAGAAGTCAGCTTTTAACACTAAGTTCCGGAAAGGAGCCGGGGGCTGCATCCTCAGGCAGTCCATAGGATCAGTGGCACAACCTTCTCCAGTACTACTTCCCAGGGCTGATTTACAGAGAAAACCTGAACAGACTCTTCCGGGACCTAGACCCAGCCCTACACCTGCTGTGGGAAAGGTGGCCAACCCCTGCCCCCAGAACTAGATCCTAGCCCATTGGTCACAACTTGTGACCCAGAGAGAAGATTACAGAGAAGGCACTGACTTACAACCAGCTCAACGTTGAAATGTTGGTGGCAGAGGGCTGCTGTACATGCTCCTGTCCTGCTTGGCTTTTGTCAACTTGACACAAGATAAAGTCATCTAGGAAGAGGAACCTCAGCTGAGAAAACACCTCCCTCAGATCACCTGCAGGCAAGCCTGTGGGACTGATATGGGAGGGCCCAGCCTACTGTGGGCGGTACCATCCCTAGGCAGGTGGTCCCGGGGCATATAAGAAGCAAACTGAACAAGCCATGGGAGCAAGTCAGTCAGCTGGGCTCCTCCACGATCTCTGCTTCAGCTCCTGCCTCCAGGTTCCTGCCTCCAGGTTCCTCAGTGGACCAAGACCTGGGATGTGTAAGCCAAATAAGCCTTTTCCTCTCCAATTTGCTTTTGGTCACGATCTTTATCGCAGCAATAAAACCTGACTACCACAGCTCCCATTCTGCCCTTGGAAGTTCCCGTGTTCATCACAGAACTCTAGCTCAGGCAAATGCTTGAGATGCCTGTCCCTTTGGGCCAGTGCTGGTCCTGTCATCCTGGACAGAGATAAATATTTTATGCTCCCGCAACAAATCTTCTGTCTTTTTTGGCTGAACAAGTTGGGAAGGGGTCTGGCTCCCACTTTTTTACACACTGCAGCTAAGCACTCATTTCTAGATCATCGGGGTCTCTCTGAGGTCCCATCTGTTCCATCACACTGAGTCCCAAGGTAGAAGACATCATCTGGCTCGTCCCCAAGATTGGAGCAGGGTGGGTTAGCACATATTGCTTAGACTGAGCAATTGCTACAGCCTGCTGAGCACCAGGCACTGGGAGGAAAGAGGAAAGAGAGAGAGGAAAGACCCTGCTCAGCATTGAAAAGGAGGGCCAGTCCCCAGCCCTGCTTCGGTTTGGGAACTTTTAACAATGACTCCATCACGGTTTGTCACTCACTCATTTAGCATATCATTATGGTAATTTTAGTGTATTTTAGACAGTTTTCAATGCCTTTGGAGGAGGAATGCACTCTCCACTTTCCCATAGCTTCTCTTCTGCCCCGTCCCATACATACAAGTCATCACGCTCCACCCCCTTCTAACCCTTTCCGGGTTTGCCTTGACTGCTGAATCTCTGCCTGATGGTAGAGAACACAAATGTCCCCATACTAACTGGGAAGTAGTCAGGGAGACAGGCTCAAATGTAGTAGTCACAAACTTCCATGACAGTTCACTTTACTAGCTTTATAAGCATGTGTACTCTACCAAAGTCCGCAACCTGAGACCCTCAGAAAATGCTTTCCCGAGGCAGTGACAAACTGTCTAACCTGCTCTAACAAGGATAAATTAGACAAAATGGGTCCCAGGGAAGAGTATTCCAAATAGAGTACACAACAGATGCCCAACACATGGATTCCCAGTCTCCAGATTGCAGCAGAGACAGGAGCCAAACCAAAAGGCCTCTGGAAAGCTCACCTTGCTAATCATCTCTCCAGCATATTCAGCTCCTAACATCTGTGTCCAGCTGTACCCAGCTTGAGGGACAGACTGGAGAGATTCCCCCATGCTTCTTTGGCCTGGCTTAACACACATCCAAACTTTCTGATCCTTCAAACGGAACTCTAAACATGGCGTGGGGACAGATGAGGCGAGAACTGTCTGGCTTGAGTCTGCTGCAGGTTGTCATCTTAGCGGCAATGCAGTGGCTCTCTCCCACTCCAGTGGATTGCTGGGAAGTGTTACACCAACAGAGATCCGTGCCCAAGCACCTGCCTCTGTGAGCCTGGGGCTGGCTGCTGGATTTAGCGGAGTGACTGGGAGAGTAGGCAATCAATAAGATGGAGTGAGTCACAGTCCACATCCTCACAGGCTTTGTCTGTGGAAGTACCAGCTAGAACAGTTTGCATGTGCCAAGAATCCTGTTGGAATTAACATCATCATAACGTGTAACTCATCACACGTTGTGGCACAGGCCTATAACCCCAGTGATTAGGAACGCTAAGAAAGCCTGGGCTACAGTATGAGTTCAAGGCCAGCCTGAGCAACTTAGTAAGTTCTTGTTTCAAAAAAAAAAGGGGGGCTAAGATTGTAGTTTAGTGAGAGAGCACTGTCTAGCATGCATGAGGCCTTGGGTTCAGTCCTGAGCAACACACAAAAAAAGAAAACAGTTAATGAAACAATCTAATAATTAAAACTATAAGTGACAGCAACAAGTATGAGTCTTTGGTTGCAAACACAAGAAACTGGCAAAAAATGAATGGAAGGTATATTCATTTTTACCAGTCCCAAAGATTCCTGTAAGGACATTTGAGGCCACCATTCAGCCCACTGAGGTGGAGTAATCAAGTTTACCCAAAGGAAAAACTAACTGACAGGGCCTGAGGCAGCAGAGTCACGAGGAGTGTTCTGGGGACCTCAGTAGCAGCCCAGAATCCTTCTGTCTAGGGATACTGCCTTCCAGACATTCACCACTAATCACCGTGTGTGTGTCTCTGTGTGTGTGTGTGTGTGTGTATGTGTGTCTGTGTCTGTGGATGTGTCTGTTTGTGTGTGTGTCTGTGTCTGTGTGTCTATGTGTGGATGTGTCTGTTTGTGTGTGTGGATGTGTGTGTGTCTGTGTGTGTGTATATGTGTGTACGTGTCTGTGTCTCTGTGTGTGTGTATGTGTCTGTGTGTATGTATGTGTCTGTTTGTGTGTGTGGATGTGTGTGTGGATGTGTCTGTGTGTATATATGTGTGTGTGTGTGTGTGTGTGTGTGTGTGTGTGTGTGTGTGTGTGTGTTTGTCCCTGCATGCATGTGTCCCCAGAGCTGGAGTTACTCTGGAAGGCAGCAAGTGCTCTTAACCACTGAACCATCTCCCAGACTTGTTCCCCTCCATCATTTTGCTTACAGATCCAGTTTCCTTACAGGAAGGATGAAGGTTTGGCTGAATCATCTGTTCTTCTCTTGGCAGGGCTGGAGGGCAGAGTCCTGGGTTGACAAGTGCAGCAGATGGAATGAAATTAGTAACTCAAAGACAAGGCTATGAGCTGTCACTTAAAGGAGGGTCAAAAATAGCAGGTGTCCACTACAGTCCAACCCTGGATTTCTCAACACACCTCATGCACACACATGCAGAAACTGTCACATATAATCCAAACACTGATCCTCTTTCAGGAGGGGAAACACCCCAAGTCATGCCCTGTTAATAGACCCACGGGTGCCACTCATCCTGCACCAATATTCTGTAAACAGCAAACGGGCTGTCACCAGCATGCTCTGGGAAAGAGACAGAAGAAAGGAAACGAAAGCTTCCGCCATAAGGAAGACATCACGGCTTCGTCCCGTTGCTGAGATGATCAGCGGCTGCTGTGGGCGCTGAGAACATGCTCTGTTTGCTGTATCATGTGCACCCTGACTTTGGCTGGTGCTACGGTTGTTGAGAGTCACTATTTGATAGGGTGCCCTCACCCTTTACTCCTAGAGAATCGAAACCCTTGAAAGTGCTAAGAGTAAGGAGATGCCTCAGGGCTCAGGGGATTCCTTGGTGTTAAAACTCCTCGAAGTCACAACCTCAGCATTGCCCTGCCTGCACTGTCATATAAGTACCGTGATAGGAGGTCAGTATTTATCCCTGGCATACATATGGACTTTGGGAGTCCATTCCACATGGAGGGATGCTCTCTCAGGCTGAACACACTGGGGAGGGCCTAGGCCCTGCCTGGGATGATGGGACAGACTTTGAAGATTCCCCATGGATGGCCTCACCCTCCCTGGGGAGTGGAGGGGGTATGGGGTGGGGGATTGGGAGGCTTGGTGGGGGTGGGGGAGGAGGGGAGGGTGAGGGAACTGGGATTGACATGTCGAGCAAGCTTGTTTCTAATTTAAAGTAAAAAAAACTCCTCGATGCCTTCTCTCTGTATAACATTAATAGAGTTTCCCCTTGATGGCATAGTTAATTACCAATGCAGCACTGTAACTCCCTTATATTTGTATTCTTGGGGATAAGATCAGAAATGCCCAAGTGACAGCCTCCATCTCTAATTCAGGGAACTCACTGCTATATCCATTAAAGAAGCATTCTGCTCATGGGCACCAAAACCTTGAAGTTTGCAAAACTCAAGCTGCAGAGAGAGTAGGCAATGGGTCTGCAAGTGGGTCACCGTGCTTCTTTAGAAGACACACGTGCAATTCTTCAACGGTAAACACCTTCTTGTGCAGCCAGCAGACATCAATGGGCCACTTGAGCCCACGGCTGCACTTGGTGCTGGAGTCCCTGCCAGTCCCTGACTTTTTGTCTACGTGGAGGACATAGCACTCGGTTTACAATGGACACCTCACCTTTAGATACCTGATTACTTGATGTGCACAGTTAGCCTGACATTCATCTTCAAGACCCAACGGCCAGGCAGAATCTGACAGCAGACCAGTTATACAAGAGGAGTGTGTGCCTGTCACAAAGTGGGAGATAAATTCAGAATGTAAGCGAACGTGAAATTCTGTCATTTTCCCTCCGGTCTTCCCTCCTTCTCTCCTCTTCCCTCCATTCCCCTCCCTTCTTTCCTTCCTCTTTCTGGTGGATGTGTAACACACGTGTGTGCATGCGTGCACACAGAGACCAGAGGTTGATGCCGTGTGTCTTTCATGATTGCTTTCGCCGTGTATTTTGAGACAAACCCAGCACCCCTGACCTGGGCATTCTTCAGGAGCAAGGGCAAAGACACGGTGGGTTCACTGGAGGCCGTACTTCCTGGTAGGATCCATGGGAAGAAAGCACAAGTAAGTCAGTACAGAAATCTCTTACTCCCTCTACAGGGTGCCAAAGGATCTGGAGTCTGTAAGGCCCGAGTTGTGTGGGCTAGCATTCAGTCCAAGTTTCATTAGCCAACTCATCCAGTTGCTAGAGCCCAGCCAGGCCCTGGAGCTAGCAGAGAAGACCAAATCTCTAGTGATTACATCTCAAAATCAGACTGGCCCCAAATTACATTTCCCCCACTGAATCAAACACCACACACACACATGCACATCCATTTCCACAAATATACCCACAGCTGATGGTATCAATTAGCAAGTTTTTACAATTCTGTTTAGGTCAGAGAGTCTTTCCTGCTCATCTTCTGTTAGCTTTCCAGGACAAATCGATTCCATCTTCCAGCTAAGCAACCTCGAACAGTAGGAATCTGACAGCTCTCTTACACCGAGAAAGGCTGTGAGCTGTCAGCATCAGTGTCACAGGCCCTGGGTTCCTCATACTCTCAGGGGGCCACACCACTTACAATACTACCCAACCAGCACCAAACTTCATAAAGGGGAGAATTCAACAACAACCAGCTGCCAACTCTGGAATTTGAACTTGGCTCTAGTCCAACTTTTAGAAGATTCTTTACAATAGAACAGAAATACCCTTTATTTTGTGCCAAATAAATAATCAAAATATTATTTGGGCTCACTCAATTGACTTTCCTTTGATCTTATTC